CGCTTCCAAGGCTCGTGGTGACCACTTCCCCCAGCTTCAGCTTGTAGAGGATGGTGGTCTTACCGGCCGCATCCAAGCCGACCATCAAAATGCGCATCTCCTGCTTCCCAATGAGGCGCTGCCATATCTTCGTGAAGGCGAGCCCCATGGCTCTGGGGCGTCTTGTCCCAGCCGAGCGGAAGGATTACTCCGGAGAGAACTCTTGCGCCGAAAGGATTGCAGCATTACCCGGCACCACGGCGAATTGAACAGATATGAATGGTAGGCCTTCACGTCCTAGAACAGTCGACAGTCCGGTTATGAAGGCGCAGGCAATTCTTGGGTCTCTGGATGTGGGCTAGCGGCCGGTCTTTCGCGACGCGTAGAACTTTGTCAACGCCAGTCGCAGCCGCGCCTGGAACCACTGCGCTTTCAAGTGCTTGCGCATGTCTTCGCTAGACTAGAGCAGCGCAGTAGGCTTGAAATGATGACGACAGGGCGGCAAGACAGGACCTCTCTTCGGATAGCATATCTGCAGATTGCACGCTGGATAAACAGAAACAGTCCGATGCTCGCGACTTTTTCGGCAAGTACCCGGTCGAGCCGTGTCTATTCTTGTGATGCATGGCTTCTCATTTCTTGCCTGGCCAGCACATTGCCGACGGTCGGGCTACAAAAAGCGAATCTGGACTCGAACTGAAGTTGCATTGCTTCCAAGGGGCATCTTCGCAGCCACATACTCGCCTGAATGGATCATCAATGCCAGCTACAGTAAGGAGAGGAGCAGGGCTGACGAAACGAATGGAACTGGACGGCATTCCCACTCCAATGCTGCTCGGAGACCGCATGTCGTTTTCAGGTACCTGGTGCAAGCCCCAAGAGCTGACGGCTAGATGTCAGCAAATCACGACGTCCGGACCGTCGGTCAGTCCACCAATCTGCTGCTCTCGGGCCGACACAAGTTTCCCCATCGCTCTTCTGATTCCTCATAAACTTAAGTAATCCTAGTTGCTTGCGGGGACGCTCGCTGTCCACGCAGGTGGCCAAACATTCCACCTCTGCTTCCTGCTGGGGAGGTTGTGCGGGCAGGGATGGCTTCTGTTGAGGCCGTTTGCTCCGTTCGCAGTGCTCCCAGTTCGCATCGTATTATCTCGCACCTTCGTCTTATCCGGCACCTTCGTCTAGTATCGTCTAGCAACGTAGGCCCTAATGGAAGTTCAGAACTTCCTGGCCTCATCCATGTTGTTGAAGAAGATGACACTCCAGCGCGGGGCCGTGGAAGCATTCAACACGCGATGTATAGAGCTTCGAAACACATCGTTGGTCCTGCATTGGTCTGGAATTTTCTGCATGGATCTCCTGCTTGTTTTTTCTTTTCTTCTCTCCCTCTCTCTCACTTGCTCTGTGTCTCTCATTTCCGGATTGGGCCGGTGCACGCTTGCGAAGCTTGCAAAATGGCTGGATAACTATGTCTGCTCTGCGAAGGCGTCCATCTCTGTGCCAGATCGCCGAGATTTGCCACAGGGGTGTACCTCGTTCTGTCTTGACTCTGTACAAGACTTTCTCGCCCTAATATGGAAATGTCTTGACTCTGTGGGGTCCGCCATCTTGTCTCGAAACCGTTGGTTTTACAAGACCACATCGCAGCACAAACGTCCGCCGAGGCTCCGGTCAGTCTTCACGGAAAGCCAGGAACCACCCGGCTTTTGTACTTGCAGACCTGTGGAGATATGCGGAGATGCAAGCCAAGCTCTTGCACAGCACGCTATCAGATGCCACGCTGTGGCAGTAGCTGAGCAGCCTTGAGCTTCCGCCGAGTCTTGGCAAACCAAAGTCAAGAATCCACAGTCCTCAGTGCAGTACTCCGACAGTGCAGCGACGTGCAACGCATGCATCCCTGCCCGCTGGTCTGAAAGAGCTTCCTGGCACCTGAACTTTGGGCTGATATGATCGATTGAAGGACAATGAGCCACTTGTCCGATTCACCGACTTTCTCTTCTCGTTGCAGCCCTGCTGCGGTGTGTGCACCACAAGACGAGTCTCCTGAGCCCGCATGCAAGAGCACGTCCTGAAGAGCAGCTTTTCTCGGCCACTCCGGCCTCTAAACCAAAAGAACAGCACGAGAATTGTTTGCCAAGCGGCCATCTCCAGCAGGCGGATAGTAAGCGAGGAGCACCTGGCCAGGCCAGGCCAGGCAACGGGCTTGACAAGACCAAGACGCCCTTTCGGAACCCTGCCTTTGCAATGGGTTTCTGAAATGCACAGAGCTCGAAGTAGTCAGTCGGCAGCCCAAGCGCCAAGCTCAAGCCCCTTGGTCCAAGTTCTAAGACCACGAGATATCACGAGACGCTAGCACTCACTTCTACGCAAGCGGTGGGTACCATTTCAAGCGCCCTGCTCCCGCTCTGCCTGAGCAGCTCGCGTGACAGCTGCAGCAGAGAGGAATGGAAACGTCCTGAGTCCCGAGACGAACGGAAGCCTCAAACGCTGCAGTGCAGTTCTCACCCCACGCATGATCTCGACTGCTGGCCGAAAATCGAAGCTTGTCGTAGAAAGCAGGCAGCGGCTCAGGTATGCCTGCTCTCCACACCACATAAAGACACACCACAGGCATCCACAGGCCATCTCGGATTGACCCGCTTAGACACGTCCACTCGGCTCTCGAGGTGCCTGGCCTTCAGCAGCACCTGGAGGCTCGCCGCAATAAAATGTTTCTTTTCCTTGGCGCAGAAGACCAAGGAAAAGTCTCGGAGCATCCTGCATCCAAGGCAGCCTTCTCCATCTTTTTCCTTCCTAGAAGTCTATCATAGTCTGTCCCTCCCTGCTTGCACGAAACAGGATGTGGCCCTACACTGCTTGCTGCTCCGTGGCTCTCCGGACGCTTGGTGCTCAGTGAGCCTTCAGACTGGCATGCTATCATGCTATGGCATGCTTGTCGAGGGCTTCAGGTCTCTCGCTTGCGGGAGGGGTGCCGACCCTCCTATACTCCTGCAGCCAAGGCGCAGTTCTGTCCGCTGCCATAGGGGTTGTAGCCCCGCCAGCCGCTCTTCTCGGAGCCTCGGCCATTGATCAAAGAAGCACCGAAGGACCAGCCAGGCCTGGGTCCACGAGAAGGTAGGAGACGACCACTGGTACCAGGACCCCGTAGAGCAAAAACGCCCCCCCCCCATGCACCGGCGGATTCAGCCACGTGGTTCTTCCCCTCACATACCGGCCGGATTGGGACTTTTTCAAGGCAAAGTTTAAAATGACACCAGCGTAGTGGAACTTGCAATGAAGCGCGCACACGGATCGTGTGTAAAAAACTGCAGGTGCACCTCGCCAACAGTACTAGTAGTTGTTGGCGGAACCTTCATGGGCGTGTACAAACAACGGGACAAGATGTATCTCACAACAGCGCTGGTTCCTCACGTGCGCCTCGCGCGAACACCAACCAATTCTCTTCACTCTGAACGTATGGAACCCCACACGGTCTACCACACTGTTTGCGGAATTTCGACGTCGAATATAGATTATCAATCTATCTAGCTATCTACCTACCTATCTATCGATCTGTCTATATGTTAGATGATGTGTGTGTGTATATGCATGCATGCATGCATAGTTTTCCTATGGCTGTGTCACGTAACGAGGCCGGCTGGCTGCTGTGCTTGAGCTTCGCGTCGAGCGGAAGCTGAAAAAAGCCCTTGGCCATGTCCTCAGGCAAGCGCCAGACTCGACAAGACTCGAGTCGAGCGCACGTGTCCACAGACTTCTGAGCCTCACTGGCTCAAGGCAGAACTGCGGCCTGCCGCCTGGTGGCAAACATCTCGTCGAGGACATCTTGAGAAAGCTCGTGGCCCTTCACGAGGAAGAAGCCTGTCCTTGAGACTGAAAGCAATATGATGCCCAACACGTGTCGTGCGACCAAGGCATGTCTAATTCTAAGACATTGCATGATTGCATGTCGTATAATTGCCACAAAGACACTCACAGCAGGCTTGCCGCAGCACGCGGACCTGGCACTGTGGCAGTGGCGGCACCGTCGCAAGTCGCAGAGTGGTTGATGACGGCACTTCATGCCAGCTCATGCATGCAACGACCAGGGGAGGCACGGCAGGGTGGCTAGCCGAGTCAGCTTCCCGCAGCTCTGCGATGTTCACAGTCCGCAGGTTCTCCTTAGGTATTATTGGCTCACACGGTCCGAGCTGCAGCTCTCTGCAGACTTTCTTATGTGCTGATGAAGCTCATCCACCTCATCCACTTCGTTGATCTCTGGGTTGTGCGACATTGGCTTCACAATGACGTCTTACCAATAGACGCGCAAGTTCAGGCGTAGTTGTTTTAACACACCATTACCCAGACCTCCCAGTTGGAATCAGAGTCAGGCAAGGCCACATCTTTCGGCATCGGCATCGGTTAGCAGGTGAAGTGCTTTGAGGGTGATCTCACGGACTGCGACTCAAGTTCTTGCCACCATGACTAATTAATGCAATGTGTCGCGAGCCAGCAGCGGCATCGGCAGATTCACACGATAACTTCCGCGGCTTCCAATCGTTTGACACAGTTTGTGTTTGTCTTGTTTGCAGCACAACAAACATATGACAGCAAGCAGCAAGCCCGTCTTCTGAATCAGGCTACGCATTGCCTCGTTGCGCATGGACTTTGTCGGCTGGTAGCCTCGCAGTCTTGAAGGTCAAACACTGGAAGGCTAGATAGACCTTTGACAACGCTTGGCCAGTGACCTGACTCGGACGGCCCATTTGCTGTTGCAGGGTCGATCTCAGTCTCAAGCGCTGCGTACAGCGGCCGAGGATCTGCTCAGCCCGGCACTCGCACGACGCTCGCCGGCGGCTCCTTCGAGGCGAGAACGGCCGTTTGCGGCGGTGCGCCTTTCGAGGCTGAATCAGACACAGGCAGCAGCTCGAACGCATCTCTCGGTTTCGTCAGCCGATCGAGAAGTTGCACGTGTTGTACCACGCCTGTCTTCAAATCCGAGAAGGAGTCGTCCAAGAGGGACTTAGTAAAGGATAATTGTTCGAAGACTGGTCATCACTTCATTGGAACACTATCGGATGTTGAAACGACTGCTCCTAGCGCTCGTGGGCCACAGCAAGCACTGCTCGCTCGGCACATTTCGTGAAAGACTTGCACTGATCTCATGACATCTCACTTGTTCTGAGCCGTGATACATCGAAAAAGTCGTCGATGGAGCTGTCTGCATCCAGCACACTTGCACCTGCTCAGCATGCAATGCGGTGAGGGAAGAGACGTGTGAAAGAATGCAACACGTAGAACAGTAGCGTGGCTGTTCAGAAGCCTCCGGGCGCTCCAGAGGTTGGCCCGTAGGCCTTGCACATACAAAGATGCAGGAAGACAAAGGAAGGCCAACACGACAAGAGATCAGCTGCGGGTCGACAAAAGGCCTCGTCACCGTCCAAGTCGTCGAACAACGCCTCCCGCGCATGCGCGAAGGGCAAGCATTGACAGAGCATACAAGTGTCAGCAGAAATGCTCGTTGGAGTGTGTTTCAACATCTCTGGTATCTCCAGTATCCATAGTTGTGTGGCCGACAGGCCATGTGCGTGCCGTTCGACCGTGCCGGCGACAACTAGGCATCCTCCACATCGAAGTCCCCGAAAAGTTCGAAGCCACTGCTCAGTGCATCCGCCTCTCCAAAAACGACATCGGAATCATGATGCTGCACCTAGCCATATGCAGCCACGGGACTTTCTGAGATTTCGGACCTGTCTTATCCGTGCACAGCTGCTCGACGGACATCAAACCGAGAGCAGCCCCTCCGCCCAAACGAAACAAAATACAGAAATATGCGCCTGCAGCTTTGGCAGCTCCTGGAGATCCGGAAGCCTATCATGACCAGAAAAGGCGGAGGTTGGGGCCTTTCCTGTTCTTTTTATGGTACTGAGAGCCTTTGGCATCTGAGACCCCAAAGAAGCCGAGTGCCTTTGCATCGGTAAGACTTCGGCGTTGTCGAGATCTTTGCTCTGTGGCGAGTGGGTCCTGCACAGGACTCGTTGCATACGAGTATCTCACAGCGGCCACCCGGAAGCCTCAATCCAACTGGCAGGGTTCCTTGCATGACTGACATCTGCATCTCGCTACGTGTGATTGTAGCACTTCTTCACATTACTGGTAGCGCATTTGCCGCAGAGACTCTGGACCAGCAGCACTTGCCATCGAAAAATTCTGGATCTCTTCCTTGCTTGAAACGTCATGTCAAAGCCAAGGCGGTGAACGCCGTAGTTTTGGATACTGCAAAGTGCATGCGAACAAAGAGGCGCTTTACATTCCGCAGCAAGAGTCAGCGACAAAAGTCCTTGCATCTAGTAGGGTGCGAACGGATCTTGCGGCTTCGGGGCGGTGTAGCTCCTGTAGCAGCAGACCTGCAGTGAAGGGATGGCGGTACCAGGCCCTGGCCTGGAGTCTGGGACTCTTGCAGGGACGCCCGGCGGCTTCGACTGCACCTCACGCTGGGACTGGACAAGATTTCTTCAGGCCATTGGGAGTGTGTTTCCACCGCCTGCGGGTTCGACTGCCCCCACTGTATCTAAAGGACATATGACACTGCGGAGTTGGCGGCGCCATCGCGTCGCTTCCCTGAACTTGGCAAAGCCGGGCATGAAGATTTCCTCCATAGACACCCCAGCTCCCACCATCGCGGGCTGGGCTTGCGGCCGAGCAAGCAGTCAGGTTTGCCAGCCGGCACGACATCACATTGCAAGAACGGGACTTGACCCCCTCACGGCCAGAGTTGGTGCCTTCCCGTTAACAGTTTCACTTAGCCGCAGCTGATGCCAACTTGAGGGCCAGGGGCATGGAGAACGAAAGCTCGGTCTTTTTTTACAGAAGGACTCAACGGCTACACACACGCAAACGCAGAGAGACATGGCTGCACTGCACAAACACCTCACAA